GAATCTGATTTTCAATTAAAAACAGGTAGGGGTTGTATCAGCTTTATTTTGGGACTTTTCTTACTTATATTTGTGAAGGTGACAACCTGCAAAAATAAATATTGAATAATTTTGGGCAATACAATTTTTAATTAGTTTGTTCAAATTGAAGTGGAAAATTTATTGGAAAATTCTAAAATCTTTTCAAATGTTATATTAAGAAACAATAGGGAATTAAGAAAATAGAAACTTTTAAAGGGTTGGAAGAACTGATATATAAGGAATGATGCAAGGAATGATTGCACAGTCTCTTTTCAGATTAAACTAGTCACGTATTTGTTTTGGTCATAAATGATATCTTCTATGAATAAAGTATGTAAAAGCAACCCCACCAGCAAGTCATATTAAAAAATATGAAATATTCAGATCAGTCCTAAAAGTACGTGGCTTAACATCCAGATGAGGGAAAAGAACCCAAGTAATGTATAATAGCTGCCTGAATTTTCCATTAACACTTCATGCTAATACAGTCTACTTGCATTTGCTCTGTAATGAAATAGGCTAGTGTGAATAAAAGTAAGAAAAACAGAACAAAACCCAAATTTTATAATCAAATGTGTGTTATTAATTGAGTGTCTTTACCTGTGCAGGAAAGTACAGACAAAAGAGGGCCTTAAATAAAATCACAGATTTTTAAAAATAGGATTTCTCAAATTTTGTTATCTCATTTGATTAACAATGAAAGTATAAAATTGAATTAACATTGATTTATTTGGGGAAAGAGAGACCTTTTTAAACTTTCTGGCAGCCAAAATATGCTTTACTGATCACTTTCCAAATTCTAATTCTAATTACAAAGTCTTTTAAGAAGCTTCTTAATATTATTTCAGAAGATAGACACGAGGCCACAAGCTTATATTTCACAGGATATGTAAAGCTTTAAAATGAATTCATGCTGTTTATACCTTCACTTGCAAAAGTGTTCTTTAGAGAACCATGTCATTTAATTTTATACAAGTATATTTTATTATTAGAGATGTTGGAAAAATTGCTATAAAATCAAGTTTACTTTTTATCCTGTGCAATTCCCCTAAAAAAACATAAATAGAATAAATGTACTTGAAGATCTGACTGTGCAGCAAAACTATTAAACTATGTAATTTGAGCTGGAGGGTGAGAATGTCTTAGTCATACTTTAAAAAGACCTGATAAATAACATTGGCTTCAACTGCCAAAAGTAAAAAATACATTATTTGGTTAACACATTCACCTAGAACACGTTGGACTAGTATAGACAAAAAGCATTTATAAATTTTACTGCTCACTATATTATGGCATACACTGGTAAGCTATCTAGCAATGTAAGCAACAGTGTCATTCAGATGAGCAGACAATAAGGTTCTGCAAACCAGATCAGAAAGTAAGCTCAAGTGCTTATACGAACTGCAAGCTGCTCAAAAGCTGCTCTAGCTAGCAGCGGTTGTGAGCAACAGCCCTGACGAACAAGAACCAGGAGATCAGCCAGGGACTGCTGAAAAGCAAGACGTTCAGATTACATCTTTCCCCATTTCAGTATGTTTTATACAGCATGCTGGGAAAAGGTGATAAAAAGAATGCTTCAAAATAAGAGCTTGACACAAGTTGATGTAATATTTGAAATGGCTGAAATGTAGGAATGGGATGAAAGTGTACTAAATCAGCTTCTCTAACCCAATGGTTTTTTGCTCTACGTGCATGAAATATTACATAAAACAAGGTCATATTTTCTATCTACACGCAAAGATATGAAAAGTTCAGAAAAACACATTTTTTAAACATGTTCAATTGCATCAAAGAAAATTGGATGGAAATGTAGCAGTAATAAAAGAAAATGCAATAAAATCTCCGCCTAAAATAAATGCTGTGGGAATACCTTTAAGCATCGTCTATTTGCTTCACTTTGCAGGGTTACTCAACATTATCTATGGTGCTTCTCGTCATTAAATACCACTGTTAAACTATCATTCACCACCTTCTTACTGGTTCCAGTGTAAGCCCCTTCTGTAAGAAATCCTCTGTCTAATCCTTCTAATCACTATCATATCTAGGTAAAAACAAATACACAGTCTGTTTCAGACTCTTTATTGGAAAGTACTTTTAGAATATTATTAGGAAACAAAAAAATGGATTTATTTCTTGCTCAAATATTTAAACAAACTAAACTTAAGGTAGCATTTTGTTGTTGTTGTTGAATTTGGTAAAAAAATAGGATGTCATTTGGTAAAATCTGTAAGTATTCATTGCATTAGATACCGTTACGCTGAATTTGTCCTAGCCCTCTTTTACAACTACATTTGACCAGTTAGTACTATTAGGTATACTTTAAATTCAAATTTAGGTAGGAGATCAAAAATGGTACCATATTCCAAAGACAATCAAGCACCTTTCAATAATTAAAATTTCTTGATTCCTTGCTCTTCACTTCATATATATAAAAAAAAAAAAACCGCATAGCAAGAAAATGTGAATTTGTTAAAAGAAAACTCAGTGACTGTCAATCAGTGAGGGAATGATGGATAAACACCCTCTGGAAAGCACATCCTTTGGTCATGCAGAAGGATTAGCTCTCTCTAGAGATGTGTGTTCAGAGCATCAAGTAAAGCTTACAGCTGTCATATCAACCCATCTATCAAGCTGTGTGCTATGGGCCAAGATGATGAAACTCCAGTGGCAAGTTTAATTTGCAAGGATGCGCTCTAGCTTTTCTCAAAAATATAATTCTGAGATAATGGAAGGCAGAATCATCTTCTATTTACTGAAGTGGGATTCAGAAAATAATTTGAAACCTAATGTAGATAATCACTCATTTCTCAGAAGTATTTTGGCTACTGTTCCCCCTTCTATCTGCCACCCTAAGGAAAAAAAAAATTAAAAAGCTTTTTCCTTTAACTGCTGTGTGTGTCAGTTACTACCTTTCCACATCTTTTATGTAGACTGCCATTCAGAATATTTGTAATGAATGTATAACAAAACCAAAAACTATAACATCTCTTCCTTTGCCTTTTCAGGGCAACAGGATCTAATACTGACTTATTCTCTGTGCAGGTCCAACACCAATTCAAAGTCCTGCCTCTCTGGCAGATTTGCTAGGCATTGTTGTCTCTGATGTCATTTGCCATTCGCTGATCTTAGTTTCCCACATAAAGAAAACAAAAACCAATACTGTATTACAATTTTACTTTGACAGCCCTGTCACCTGAAAAGTGCTCCACAATGCATATAATTTCAGCTCAAAGTGGAAATTCTTCCACCTGATTTTGAATTAATAATAATATAATAATAATAATAACCCCCCCCACAAACATGGTTAACAACAGTCTTTCCTTGAAAGAATTTGGAATTAAAGATTTGGAAATAGTTCTAAATGCCAATAATTCAGTATCTCATACTGGTCAGCAAGTAAGCACTGTAAGATACAAAGGATGCTATGAAAAAGTAACATAGTAACTAATAATTGTTCTTGTGCGGAACATTACCAGTCACAAACTGGATCTACGTAGGAATCTATATTTTAGATAAATGATTCTATTTTCAGTTATAAGGTATGTACTGTAAAACAAAGAAGAAAAATTCAAGCATTTTAATGTTCAGTGTCTGATAAAATGTTGAAGTATCCAGCTTTAAAAATGAGTAACACTGGCTTTCCAGGGGCTTACTGGAAAACCGGGCAGATAACAGCGTCCTGCTCAAAGGAAAAAAATGTGCACAGAATGGTTGGAAAAAGACCAAAGAGACCGGGAGGGAACAAGGAAACACCATGACCAAAGCCAGGCATGCTGTAAGCTCCACAGGCATTGGGTCTAGGAACAAATTAAAAAATACTGTGAGGTCCCCAGGGCACTGAGGGGCCTCGGTGGGGCCTCCCGCCCCTGCCCATGGGTGGCCCCTGCCCATGAGCCTCCCCTCTCACGGAGCAGCGCTGCTCCTGCTGCTCCCTGACAAGCACAGTAAAACCTTAGTGTGTATGGAAGCTAGTGAAAATCCGACTTAAAATACCACGTTCTTCTTCTTTGCTAAAGGTTGAGTTAAGGTAGTAAAAAACTGGCTCCTGTCCTACAGAGAATTAGGAATGCCTCAGCACTTCCAATTACAGTGAGAGGTACAGGATTATAAGGTCCCTACATAGTTGGGACCAACAGTTTCTTACTCCACAGGCTAGTACAGGCTAGTACAGAGTCAAGCAGCATTGTGGTCCCATTCCCCTATGCTCTGTGTAGATTAAAAAAAAAAAAAAGAATACTGGTTTCTTCTGCGTAAAATAAAACACTGGAATGCTCCTTCAGACCTGAATACAGACAACCCCATCTGCAATCACTGAGACAACAATGACAGTAGAAAATTAAGTCATGTAATTTTTTTCTATTCACATCTACCTGTCTACAAAATGGACGCTAAGAGCTTACACTTAGATAGGTTACATAACTAGAACCAGTTTTGGAACTGAGGCAATGCGATGTACACAAAAATATCCTGTTTTGGCTATATTGGCTAGGGAAGGTCACATGACTAAACTAAACACCATCTCAACAAGGTTAAGTGAAGAAATAATCCATTGAGAAGTTAAAATTTACCATACGGGGTAAAAAATGTAAAGAGAAATTCTTGTCAATGCAGCTAGGTTGTGCAAGCCCCCCTGCTTCCCCTCAGTGACTCCGAAGTCCTGAGTGGAGCAGGCGATGCTCTGTGCTCTCAAGGCGAGCTGACTCCCGTATCAGGAAAGACTTTGAGAAGCGCTGCAAGCAGCTGCCCTAGGAGCCACACTTTTCCCAGTCCCCAACTGTATCACACAATTAACGCTGCATATAGTTTATTGGGTATAGACTTGACGTGGAGTAAAGAGACACTTGGCTCTTTCAGCGACCTGCAGTCCTACCTCAGATAAATCACCTCTATTTCCTATGAAAAGGAAGTTATGAGATATACTTTCTTCTGCAAAGCTTAAAAGGTCTAAAGAGGCAAAATGCCATTCAAGAGCTAAATACATTATTTAGCAAGAGCTAACTATTATTTCAGTTTACCACCTGAATGAGCCATCAGAGAGGAAAGACTGTACTGGAGTCCATTTTACTTAATGACATTATGTTCTTCCTGATCCTCCGGCAACTGCAGAGCTCCATTCCTCTGACTTTATGCAAAGGGAAGAAGCGGTTCTTCTGATACAATACAGTTTTCTGAGAAACAATTTGGCAAAAATGGTACAGGCAACTTCATCAGCCTTCCCTCCTGCTTATTGCTTGCTTATGTTAATTTACTCTGAGTTCTCTTTGCTTGTATTGCGTACTCTTGTGGTCAAAGCATATACCGGCACAAAGTGGTCTTGACTCTGGATTTTTCTGGGGATTTTTTTGGGGTGTACTGTGCAGGACCATTAGTAAGAACTAACCAAGTTTTAAACCCTACCAGAACAAAAGTGAGCATTTTCTACTTCTAAAGGAGTGCAAACTAAACTGTAAGCAAATGTAGCCCCTCAATGATGAAGCCTAGAAAACATTGAAAACTGCTGTTGCTATTTTCGGTAGCTCATCCGTATTTCCTGAAACGATCACAAGAGTGGGGCCATTTTTGTACAGAATGGGAAAGACAAATCTCTGCTCACTTCTGACCATGCTCCGGTGTGGCTGTATACAAAGCTGCTCTGGCACAGCAGGTATGCAGCTGCTGTAGGAAAATGCTGTTCCCAAGCTAATGATTTCTGCTAAGAAGTGATTGTAAATTGTAATTGGGGTGAGCTAAAAGTGTGCTGCAGTCATTTACCATAGATCAGCTGATGAGTAGTAACTCACTGAGTCCTGGCAATTCAAAAGCTTTCAGTCTTTCCTGAGCAACCACTCCCTCAGTGTGTGGCTTCTAAAAACATTGTCCTGTCTTTCAGTTTTTAAACCTGTGCCATAAGAGTTTCATACTAGAAATCACACACCTCCACTCTGTCACTTATTCTATACACTTATTTACTACTGTTGTTTCAGAAAAAATTGTTTCCTATTTTTGTTACTATTTTTTAAATATAATGTATCACATATATATGTTGTATAAAATGAAGGCCTACTAATCCTCACCAAATACATGCAAAACTGAAGATCTAATTAATACTGCTTTTAACTTCTGATGCTTTCTTCTTTGACATCATATATATAACTTTTCTCCTTGTAAGCTGCCAGTTGCATCATTTTGACTGCAGGAGACGAGGTTCTCGGTATGGAGATAATTAACCTTACTTTTCTAGTTCTTTGACATCTATCTTCCTATGCATTGTTCATTAACCATCACTAGATTAATTCTTTGTTTGCCTCTGACATTTCAATACTCTAATGCCTTATCATTCCAACACACTCATTGGAGTGAACACGCTATTTTAGTCAGTTTGTCCAGCACTCTGTCCTTGAACCATCTTCAAACATAGTCTATTTAAACAGATTGCTTAAATTGACATATGACTCAGTACTATATTCTTCTTTTAACTATTGCTTTAACATGTCTACCAACTGACCTGATTGCAAGGACCAGAGAGATTCAAGCAGCTGCTTAGAGTGTCCCTGGGTTTAGGCAATCAGAGGGTCTTAATCTTTCTTGAAAAGAGTTGCAAATTTCTTTCAAGAAAGCAGGCAAACAGATATCAAGATAAAAGCCTTCGAAACAAAAGGTCCATTTTTTCCCAAATCATTTTGGCAATGCCATTTTACAACATGTTAATCTAAATGCAATGAAAAAGGCAGTAATTTTTTTATGGCTGTTCCACTGTTTGACTTTTAGGCTCATTTAATATTAATGTTCTTCAATCACAGGCTTTGACCCTGGGCATTACTTGCAGACATTATGCAACGTGTAGCATGAGAACCCTATCTGGGCTAATAGACCTGTTTCTCATCAGGGTTAACGAGTCCAGGCAGGACACTGAACTAGGCTAGACTGCTAGACAGCTCGAGCTTCTTTACGCAGACTGTTTTGGGTATGTCTGCATGATTACACTGTGCCATGTGGAGATACCAACAGCGTCCCTGCACTGATACGCCATTTCAGGAATCTGATGCGTTAACCACATTACAGAGCCCATATCAGAATGAACTCGGCAATTCATTAACCTCCGTTCTATCTTTTCAACAACGCAATTCAGTAGTTTCTGAGGTAATCACTTTGAATATTACTTAACAAAACGCAGTCAGTCCAGGCTGAAGGACAGTCAGTGTCTGCCAACATACACTTACTTACAAAAAAAAAAAAAACAAAATAAAAATTTGAAGGTTGACTTTGAAATTATCACGATTGCCACACAGAAATCATAAAATAAATTGCTCTTTACTCATTTCTCCGTAAGTCTCTCTCTCTTTTTTTTTTTTTTTTTTTTTCCTACAAGCATTCTCTGAAGTCAGTAAGCGGAAAATGAACTACCCCAGAAACTGGAATTCAGAGTATCTCATATGAGGTCAGTCACAGAACTTATGTGAGTTTGATGACAAAAAACAATACAGAATAGAGTCAAAGAAAATAACCAGTAAGTTCTACAATGCACTCCTCCCCTTTGAGATACATTTAAAATGTATAAAAGCTACTTTATCCTTATTAATCAGTAGGTTTTATGGAAAAGTTTTTATTTTTTTAATATTAATAAATTAAAAAAATGTCTGTTAAAATGTTCATTCCCCCCACCTCCCCACCCCCCCCCCCGTCAACACACTCACTGAGTAAATGACTGTGAATATTGGGATGCATCAATAGGCCTTAATCCAGCGAAGCTTTCAAGCAAGGTAGAATTTTAAAAGCCCAAAGAATTTGGTGAGAGGGGAACCAGGACTCTTGTGTAAGTGTTTTACGGTATGCCTACCTGTTCTTTGGAAGGCAGAGGTAAGCTCACCCTGCTTGCGCTCTTAGACATTTGGAAACTGGGTAAACATGCCACAGCCACTGAACTAATGTGGCTCTATGACTTTTATTTCACTAGAAACTGGAAGCTGAGCCATCCATAAAACAGAGAATGGAATGGGATAAAGGGGCGACTTCTACCATTCTGCTGATTTCAAGCTGTTAACTGGTCCTCTGCTGCTGCTGATGCCACCCCTCTTCCTCCTACTGCTTTAATTTTCTTCCGCTGCGTTACACAAGGAATGAACAACTGAACAATAACTTACACACCTTTGTCAGCGTGTTGTGTGCAGCTGCTAATGCTTTCTAAAATACTCAGTGCAGAAAAGCTTTGATGTTCAGAGATCAATGTTAAAGTGGGCACACAGTTCTGCAATTTTCAAAAAATGTTTGATTTTAAAAGGATTTTTAAGCATTCAGTGAGCTAAAAGTATAATTTATTTTCCATAGATGTAATTCAACTTTTAAAAAAGTCACATGTTGTAAAGTCACACAGGAGAATCTGCCAGTAACAGCATTTAGCATAATGTAGCATTTTTATTCTTTTTTTTTTTTTGGGGGGGGGGGGACATCTGAAGACCTTTTGATCTTACTTCTAATTCAATCTGCTGTCCTCCTACTCGTTGATCTAGCTGAAGAATCACTTCCACAAGCATAAAACAAGACAAAACTAAGTACTTTTCCCAAAATGTCTTTCAATGCTGATACTATACCTCTTCCAACTGACTATGGTAGATGTTTACTGGATTCTTTTAAAATGATTAATAACTCTGTAAAGCCTGGATTTGAATTCAGACCTATGCAGGCAGAATGGAAAAAAATATTTTACGAGCAAATTTTCTCCCGCATGTATATTTATATTCTAATTAAAATAGAATTTAATTCCTGTTTTCACTTGAGGTGAAATTCAAAATCTTAATAGAAGAATGACAGTTATACTTACAGCAATATCATCAAAATAAAGCTACTTACCTGTTCAAAACTATTCTTTTGGAATTCTTCAAATCCAAAAATATCCAGTATCCCAATTTCAAATACCCGGTCACTGGAACAAAACACATTACAAACGATAAGAATTCAAGGAATTGAATAGTATTTCTATAGTTTTTAACAATAATATTTCTGTTCAACCATGAAAGCAGTCTCTATTTCAAAAATATGGCATGAAATACACAAGCAGACCACATAAACAACAGAATCAAGATCGTAGAATGGTATAACAAACTACTGATTTTGGCTGCCTCATTTCTACCCACCAATCTATCATATCAAAGATGAGGAAAAAAGTGGGGTTCGAGATTGTTTTAGAAGCCACTTTTAAAAATAAAATGGAAAGAGAAGGAAAAAAAAAACCTCTTAGCTTCTTTAAACCCCAGTTTCCAAAGGTATAGGTATCTACTTGCTCAGACGAGGGACAGCCATCTAAGGGAAGTTTCAGAATTGGTGCTTGGTTGCACTCAGTTACCTCGTTCAGTTTGTACTTCCTGAAAGTCAGAGCGTGCTCTCCTACTGAATGCACATCAAGGAAACCTGCTAAGCCAAAGCCCTCTGTGCCAATCTGAAGTAGAGGTTGTGAGCTCAGGCTGCACAAGAGGTAACATTTCCTAGGAAAAGAATAGTTAACATTTGGGCATGAACAGGGGAGATGTTTCTTCCCTGTATTCCTAAAAGAATACTCGTTGGTAGGTCTTATAATTTGCCAAATGACATTGCCTGCATTCAGAAAAGGGCTTTTATTTTGGTCCAGTGGAAGGATTAGAGTAGGGTAGTCAGCTAATATTCAGAGAGGGAATATGGGGATGGGACAAAGGCTTTATTACGCTGTTCTTACTTGGACTCAGTCATTGTCCTCCAGACCTTGAGGAGAAACTACATTCATTATAGGCAGTGGAATTAAAACTTTGGGATATCCGCTTGCCTGCTTTGGAAGGCGTTCAGAAGTTTATTTGAAAAGGCCAGGCTGGCTGGAACTGAATAGTTTTTCTTTATTTTCTTCACAGCATCAGTACACAGAGACAATAAAGAAAGGGTGACAATCAAAAAGTTGTTGCAGCTTGTCTTTATGAATCTACTGGGACCGCCCCCAGGGTGAAATAATCTACTAGCAGGATGGAAGATTTTGCACCCTAGCCAGTGGCTCTCTTGGAGAAGAAAAAATCCATAGGTAATCCTTTAGCTTTGCAAGAAAGGAGATGGATACTTTCTGAAGGGGAGGAGCTTTCCTTTCCCAACATAATTTGGTTTTTCTACGTATTGAGACTATATGCATACAAATACAGTTGCAGCTTGCAGTTTTTGAAACCTACTTTAGTTCCACATTGCCCTTTTTCTCTGTGTCAAAATCTACGCGTATATCAGGGCACAGAGGTAAAAGAAAAAAGGTGTAAAAGACTGATTCACTGCTGAAGTACTTTGGTATAGTTCTAAAATAGTCACTGTAACTGCAAGCATTTAATTAGGCAAGGATCCAGTCCTGAAAACAATTCCAAATATAAAAAACAAACAAAATAAAATAATAAAAAATGTGACAACCCTGCTAATGTGCTGCTCCTTTTGAGCCTTCCTCAGGGACAGGCAGAGCCTTCTTCAGCTATCATATCCATGAAACCTGTCCTCATTTCTAAGGCATACTAGTTCAATGCACTACTGGTCGTCACAAGACTGGCTCTATGCGTAAATGTCAGACATAGAGAGCTGCATAATAAATCCAGTCTAGAATGACTTTGTTGGGCAGGAGAGGTTATCGTGAGGTCGATTTGCCTCCAAGGGAATTTCTACAAGAAGAAACATAAAGATATATCACTACTTCCACCTCTAACAACGAGTGCAATTTAAATTTTGTGTTTAAAACTGTAAGCCTCCTTCTCAAGCGTTCTTGATTAGAGATGAGTATACATTCTTTGTTATAATGGGGTTTCAAAAAAAGTCAATTTTTCATAAAGAAAAATGAAAAACTACCTCAAAATAACATTTTAAAACACAATTACTACATTATTTACATAAGTTTTGGGAAAAAATAGAAGTTCAGAATACTTATTAGATTTTCATTCTTATTTTATTATTTTGTCTTTTATCTACAACCTATTTCATAGGAAGACAAAACATGGACTGCTATTTAATACTATAGAACAACAGAAATACTGTATTGTATTTTACAATTGCTAAGAGCATCTGCTAGTTAACACTGATGGAACAGCTTACCCCCTACTCCGTCTAATTCACCGAACAGACTTGAAGCTGGATTGCTTACATCCCAGCTGAGTTCCCATGACTGTTATTTCGTCAAATTAGTCTCCCTTGCTCTTTCTTAGGGAAAATATAAAAATTTGTGTATGGAAAAGATAGAAGCAAATTGACTTAATAAGTTATTATAAATTAGGCAAAACAGGAACCTGACCCTGCTTTCTAACATTCCAGGTAAATGCCTTAGCAGTCAGCCTACTGGCTATCTCAAATAGCATTACTTATCCAAACGGTGACATTTTCCAAGAAACATCTTGATTTTGAGGGACAAGCACTTTTCGACAAAAAAGTATGTCATCCCAAATTTTTGATGAACTCCACCTGATAATCTTGGCTTTCGTGTTAAAATATGCAAACGCTACATGGAGGAGGTTTTACACAAGGCAAGTGTTACCTACAGGGCAATATAAGAAAGATAAGAAATAAGAATAAGGGTCTGCATCCTCTATAATAGTGACAATTTATCACTAGGGGCACCTATGCACAAAATGTCACCAAAAATTATAAGAATTCCCTGTATTGGCCAGATTTGGCAAATTAAACATGAACAATAAAACAGCAAAGTCAAAAGCACTGGCATATATTTGGCTATAAATTGCTTTACTTTGTTTTTCTGTCTTCTTATCTTACTCTGTCTTATATTACCTTTCTTCTCAGAGGAAGGGTCCACATATTTTTTTTGGCTAGCTGTCAATCATACTAATTCCAGCAAAATTACTTTCCTTAAACTAATCATAGCAGAGATTCCCAAGGCAAAATAAAGTATGAATGATTCTATGTTTACAAATGAAAGGGCATGTCACCAGCGTCTAAAAGAACAAATATTAGAAAAGAGGACTTTTTGCTCCGAAGAATCCCCTTATTTTATTTTATTCTTTCGTTTACTAAATATCATTGACTTTTCCTTTTTCTGTTTCAGTCATTCAATATTTAGTATGTATAAATAAAACAGTTATCATAAAATACTGGACATAGAGATTCCATTTTTAATAAATAATGTTCTGTTTGTATCTAGACAATAAGAGAAGGTGATACTTGTGTTTGTACTTTGGATAGATGCAGAATTCAATTATAAAGTAGTAATTATTTTTTTCTGTAGTAATTAGATATGTATTACTATTATGACTGATTTTTTTCAAGCCTGACATACTTCCTTGCATACAAATTAGAAAAAACAGCAATTTGGCAATATCTGGAGAATGTTGCCATCTCTCAGACCAGTACATCACTGTGAACAGTAAAAACATGAAGCAAATCTGAACTACATTTGATTTGATTTTTGCGATTTACAAAATAGTGTTTCAACTGATAATGTTTTACAATGTCTCCAGTACTGCCTTCTTCTTCAGAATGAAGTCTCTGTGAAGATATTCCATACAGACTAGAAACACCTTTTGTTCTTATACACTGAACAACAGCACTTTAAAGAAACTACACAAAAATTCCTGGCAACTCCTAAGAACAATACACATATACCAGACATCCTGTCTGATGATCTATTATCTTGGCAGACATCTTGCCATTCATCAAGAGATGCTTTTGACCCTTCTGCCATTCCTGGCAGAGGTGAACAGAATTCCTTTTACTACAGTTCTGAACGATCATTTCAGACAAGCCCACAGGATGTTATTTGATCACTTTTTTTTCATCCCAGATGGTTTTCGGCTCCACAATCCTTAGTGTTCAGTCCCATTGCCATTTTTTGTAATCTGTCCTATATAAAGCAGTGAGGGGAATCTATTGAGACAGTATGAGCTAACACGCCTTTTAACCTGCCCCAGAGATAATGTTTCTTGCTCTTCCTCCAACTTCTACTAGTAACCAGGAAGGAAGCCAGTTGGCTTACATCTCATCTGGATAAAGCAGAAGTGACACTGATTAATGAGGAGTACTTTTAGGATTAGATGAAGTATATAACCTAGCCTTCACATGAGAACATTTGCCGGGTCACCCCCTCGCTGTTCCCAGGGGGACAGGTTACACTCGTCTTAAATGCCCTTTTGACAGAGATTTTTCTCAGATTTTTGAGATTTTTCTCAGATTTTTGCTGTGACTAAACGGCATTGATACATCTCTCAGTTATCTTGCTGAAAAACTGCCATTTTTCTTTTAATATTACCTTACCAAAATGGGCATGGTACAGATAGACTGGGGTTGGATACACTGGGGACAAATACTGGCTTCATATCTGACAGGGATTTATATTGAGTGACAGGGCAGGTAGGGCAGGAAGGAAGGATCTTTTTTCACTAATAGACTTAAAATCTATAGCCTTCTCAACAGTAGCACCTAAATTTTGCCTCTTTATGGCAACATTTTTTCCACGCTTTAAAAAAGAGTCATCTTGTTTAATGAAACACTAGAAATGATCTAGACTGAGACAAATCTCAGAATAGGATATTATGCACCATATTGTATTGGACGCTTTGTATTTTTCATCTGTTTTGAAGATTTCCCTGCCTCCACATACAGGGACAACCCCCATTACGCTGTGGGTTCATGCACAGAACAGGAACTCTCTTTCTGTCCCTCTCACGTTCTCAGCACCCTTCTACTGAGTCCAGCAATGGAGGAATACATGTTTTAGTTTATGTTCTGATTTTCTTCTTAGGCTAGGCAAGTTCTTGCTTCAGAAATATCTCACCCATGATCATATTATAAATCAGATGATGTGTATTAAGGATTTTCTGAATGAATATCTCCGTTGCCCAAATAAATGTTGCCACTGCTACTCTCTTTCAATATTTAATTTCGCTAGAAATAAGATTACACACTTAGAATACACAAGTTTTCAGAATATAC